TTCTTCATCTTCTCCCACACGGCTATTGCACAAGGTTTTACAAGTAGATACCGATTTATCATCGTTCCTACTCACGACAAACTCGATTTCCGTTTTTTTTTTTTTTTTTTTTTTTTTTTTTTTTTTTGATAGTGTCTTGATTATTTTTATTTTTTACGTCTGATCGCGTTATTGGTACGAGGGGTAAAAGAATGATCCTTCCGTTGTGAATCGCCTGCCCCAGTTTGCCAGGATGTGGCGCCCTTCCGTGTGGTGGTGTTTGTGTGTTTGGTTTTTTTTTTTTTTTTTTTGTCCCTTTTTTTGTCTGGTGTGTTTGCGTGTGTTGGTGTGTGTGTCTGTGTGTGCGTTGCGTGCGTCGCGTCGCCAGTGCGCTGGCGGTGGTGCGCGTGCGTCGCGTGCGTGCGTGCGAGTGGTGTGGGTGTTGCTGCGTGCGTTTTTCTTGCTGCTCCGTCCATTTTTTTTTTTTTTTTTTTTTTTTTTTTTTTTTTTCTGTGTGTGCGGCTGATCCCGCGTGTCCTTCTGTGGGGTGGGGTGAGGTTCGGCGACCTCGGCGCTTTCCCGGTCGCTGGAGTCTCTCTCGCCCCGGGATTTCTGGTCCGGTGCGTGTGATCCCCTGCCTGGGTTGCGCCTCCTTCGCGTAGTTCAGTTTTTAATTTTTTGGGTGATTTCTTAAGCTTAAACAGGAGGTTAGGGTTAGGGTTAGGGGTGCCGGCTGCGCGGCATATGCCACTCAGTGATATACTATAGGGCCTTAGAAAGCTCAAAGAGTGTATTTCATAGGACCCTGATCGGTGCTTTGTCCATGAAATCCGATATTGTACAGTGAATAAATCGGCCACTCCAGCTAACTATTATATTTTTTGTATTTATTGTGCTGATGGAGGTGGCGGGGCCATGGTCCAAGTATATAGAGATACCTACCAAAAAGCGCAGTTGTAATCATCAACAATTATGCAGTTTGGGAGCCTGAAGCCGCCAGTGGAACCTCGGGCGCTGTAATGATATCCCTGGGGTGTGTCAAGTCGTGATGCTCCATCGGGTATGTGTGTGGCTCTGAGTGGTGTCGGGGACAGTGCCTCGTGCGTTTAGATTTGTTGTATTACAGTGCCGTAAGCTAGCAAGGGGGGGGGGGGATGGGGGCAGGTGCCCCAGCAGACAATATGGATGCTGTTTGTTACGTGTGTCAATGGCCGATTGGCCTTACGAGGCTCCTGATTGGTCAGTTTCTACGAGGCCCCTGATGGCTGGTTGCTACGAGGCTCCTGATTGGTCAGTTTCTACGAGGCCCCTGATTGGTTGGCTGCTACAACGCCCCTGATTGGTCGGCTGCTACGAGGCTCTTGATTGGCTGACTGCTACAAGGCCTCTGATTGGTCGGTTGCTAAGGAGACCCATGATTGGCTGGCTGTTAGGAGGGCCCTGATTGGCCGGCTACTACGAGGACCATGATTGGTCGGCTGCTAGGAGGCCCCTAATTGGTCGGCTGCTAGGAGGCCCCTGATGGCTGGTTGCTACGAGGCTCCTGGTTGGTCAGTTTCTACAAGGCCCATGATTGGTCGGCTGCTAGGAGGCTCCTGATGGCCGGTTGCTACAAGGCCCCTGATGGCTGGTTGCTACGAGGGTCCTGATTGGTCAGTTTCTAGGAGGCCCCTGATTGGTTGGCTGCTACAACGCCCCTGATTGGTCGGCTGCTACGAGGCTCTTGATTGGTTGACTGCTATGAGGCCTCTGATTGGTCGGTTGCTAAGGAGGCCCATGATTGGCTGGCTGTTAGGAGCGCCCTGATTGGCCGGCTGCTACGAGGACCCTGATTGGTCGGCTGCTAGGAGGCTTCTGATTGGTCGGCTGCTAGGAGGCTATTAATGGCCGGTTGCTACGAGGCCCCTGATTGGTCGGTTGCTAGGAGGCCCCTGATTAGTCGGCTGCTAGGAGGCCAATGATTGACCGGCTGCTACGAGGTTCCTGATTGGTCGGTTGATATGAGTCTACTGATTGGCGTGTAGCTAGAATACCGCTGATTGGTTGGTTACTAGGAGGCTCCTGATTGACTTGCTGCTAGGAGGCTCCTGATTGAACGGCTGCTAGTAAGCCCCCAATTGCTCGATTGCTAGGAGGCCCACGCTTGGTTGATTGCTAGCAGGCCCACGATTGGATGATTGCTAAGAGGCTTACGTTTGGTTGATTGTTTGGAGGCCCACAATTGGTCAATTGCTAGGAGGCCCCCAATTGGTCGGTTCCTAAAAGGCCCCTGATTGGCTGGTTGCTACGAGGCCCCTGATTGGTCGGTTCCTAAAAGGCCCCTGATTGGTCGGTTGCTACGAGGCCCCTGATTGGTCGGTTGCTAGGAGGCCCCTGATTGGCCGGTTGCTACGAGGCCCGTGAAATGAAAATTTTCCACTAGTATATTAAATGACCGATATAGCAAACATGATCTAGTCTGCATGAGCATGCTATATGTCAAAATGTGTCTTATTCAGTTGGCAAATACACTATGTTAACAAGACTGCAGTGACGATGAATTTTGACCTTATCTGAGCTATTTCTTGAATAAACTGGATGAGTATTATTGAAATTATAGCGAAAACCCTAAGAGTGTTATAACGCAATACCCGTTAACACGCCAGGTGCGCCGTACGTCACCAGATGGCGCTGTTCATTTGGCACTATATCCAAGACCTCATGTAGTACGCGTATGCAAAGTTTCACAATTCTAACCATAACCAAGTGCACAATCCATGTGCTCATCCGTTGGACTAGAACGCGTGCTGCTGTTGATATTATTACTCGCTTACCAAATACACTGGAAAAACTTGGAAAATAACATAACCTGTGTGTGTACTAACTTTATGAAAAATTACTTACCTTGGTTGTGTGTACACATTAACTAAAACTGCACCCTGCTTCGAAGTCCACTCTGCCTGAATGTTCACCCTGGTTGCACGTTAAGCTGCACTGCATTCCCAGCTTAACTGCACGTATATATTATGGCAACGTGGCGACCACTGTACTTATATTCTTCGTCGCCTAATGATCGTGGCTCCGTTGTCAGAAATAAAATTAGTCTCAACATTCGTCTTAACATTAGCCTTTTCTCGTAAAGTTTGGAAGGATTTTTCATTCTCTAAGCGTTACGATGTTTTTATCAACGGTCGAAGAGAACAAATTCATGTTAAATAATGAGACGAATGTTCAGACCAATTTTTTTATTTTTAACAACGGGCCCCAGAGACCATCTACCCTATACTCGGCAATGTTAAACATGCAGACATATAATATATTATGCGATTGGTTAGATCGTATTATAAAGGTAAGTAGTAAATATATTGCGCACTATTTTACGCGTAATGACTAATACTTTATATATAGATATATAGACATACTACCAAGGGTTTCACTGAACACAGTGCCCCTGTAATTATCGATGTAGAAATATTTGGCAGTGAATCTGATTATCCAAGAGTTAGTGTAACATTAGATGTAGCATGTAGATTTTGCACATCTACATGCTATGCTATATCTAGCAATCCAATACAGCTATATCTTTGGCGCGCATATACGCGCGCATAATACATGATCATGCATGGGTACGTGAATAGAGAGACATCTATACATATATCTATACATAATAGAATAAATATATAACATACATACGGATAGAATATAAAATATAGAATATATAGTATACAAACTATAAATATATAGAATATAAGATAAAGAGTATAATATATAGAGGATATGGAGAATATGGAAACTATAAGATATACAATATATGGAATATAAGGTATAGACTATATAGAATGTATGGAATATAAAAATTAGAAAATACAAGATATGGAATACATCTCTATTCGTGTACCCCTGAAACTATGAAGCGAACCCCCCGTATATACGTACGTGTCCGTGACGAGTCGACGCGTTGACTATCTATAAGCACTTGAGTGAGACGTGTGTATATATGATGCGACGACTGCTAGAGACGATGCGATGCTTGTGTAGCTTGCTTGGCGACTGCGGCTCTCAAGGATAGACGCGTAAGATCGAGTAAACGGCTTGCAGGTGAGAGCGAGAGAGGTGTAGTTATATTTATGGGTCCAGATCCGGCTGTACCAGCGAGGTACCTGGCGCGCGATTCTCGGAGCTCAGGGCCGTCATGCGCGACGCGTCCGGATTTAGAGGCAAACAAGAGCGCCGAGGTTGTCTCACTCGCGCGCGCGCGTAATTTTACTAGTGAAGCCCTGTAGGAAGACGTTGCCTCGCTTCACATCGTGGAAAACGCACAGAGGAAGTCGTTTTCATATAACTTGATAATTTTGTTATTGATCAATTGACCCATGATTGGTTGATTGCGAGGTGGCCCATGATTGGCTGGTTGCTAGGAGGCCTCTGATTGGTCGGCTGCTTTCTATGAGGCCCCTGATTGGTCGGCTGCTACGAGCTTCCTGATTGGTCGGCTGCTAGGAGGCCCCTGATTGGTCGGTTGCTAGGAGGCCCCTGATTGGTCGGCTGCTATGAGGCCAATGATTGGCCAGCTGCTACGAGGCTCCTAATTGGTCGAGTGCTACGAGGCCCCTGATTGGTCGAGTGCTACGCGGCCCCTGATTGGTTGGCTGCTACGAGGCCCCTGATTGGTCGAGTGCTAGGAGGCCCCTGATTGGTCGGCTGCTACGAGGCCGCTGATTGGTTGGCTGCTACGAGGCCCCTGATTGGTCAGCTGCTACCGAGGCCCCTAATTGGTCGGTTGCTAGGAGGCTCCTGATTGGCCAGCTGCTACGAGGCTCCTGATTGGTCGGCTGCTAGGAAGCTCCTAATTGGCCGGCTGCTAGAAGGACCACAATTGGTCGCTTGCTAGGAGGCCCACGATTGGTTGATTGGTGATTTTGGCGGCAACAGCCCGCTGTTTTCCCCCGTTGTGTTCTCCACGTGCAAGAAAATGTTAAAATTACACCCAGCAGCACCATGGTTACTATCGTGCCTGCCGTCTGCTGTACTCATTGTATTACATTTTACTTGATCCACTTCTTATATAGGCCAACGGGTAAGCACATAAAAATGGGCACATTGTGCACATTTGGTTACAATTTTGAAACTTTGCACACGCATAATACAATAGGCCCTGAAGATTTTCGGACATTGTGTCAATAGAACAGTGCCACCTAGTGGCGTATAGTGCCCCTGGCGGTTGAACGAGTATTTTGTTACACCCCTCTTTGAGTTTTGGCTATAATTTCAATAATACATATCCATTTATTCAGGAAATAGCTCAAAAGATTCGGGGATATCTATACTAATATTATACAAACAATTTATTGAGATGAATAGAGCTCCGTGTAAATGTTTAAAATTCAGTTGTTAGTTAATATCTTTAAGTTGTAATAAAATAAGGTTGAAACAATGAAATGGTTGACATTTTGACATCATTTGAGCTAATTCTTGAATAAATTGGATGGGTATTATTGAAATTAAAGCGAAAACCCGAAGAGTGTTATAACGCAATACCCGTTAACACTCCAAGTGCGCCGTACGTCACCAGATGGCGCTGTTCATTTGGCATTATATCAGACATTTGTCAGAACCTCATGTGGTACGCGTATGCAAAGTTTCACAATTCTAACCATAACCAAGTGCACAATTTATGTGCTCATCCGCTGGACTAGAACGCGTGCTGCTGTTGATGTTATTACTCGCTTACCAAATACGCTAGAAAAACTTGGAAAATAACATAACCTGTGTGTGTACTAACTTTATGAAAAATTACTTACCTTAGTTGTGTGTACACATTAACTGAAACTGCACCCTGCTTCGAAGTCCACTACCTGAATGTTCACCCTGGTTGCACGTTAAGCTGCACTGCATTCCCAGCTTAACTGCACGTATATATCGTGGCTTTATGTTTACGTTGGTTGTAAGTCCACCGCAACCTAGTTGTACGCCTAGTGTAAACGTTTTGTTGATCCTTGTGAGTGTCCCATACGTAGCAACAGTCGAGGGCCTTCTTATTCGAAGGCGATTATATTAGTATCTGAGGCTCAAACGCCTTATATACCTGTCCTCTAGCCAACAGGACAGTCCCTCAATTCTAAGAATGCTAACTACCAACCAATTACACGAGTCTCGTCGGTCTAGTGGGCAATAACATTAGCAAACATCTAGACCGCAAATATGCCTTTAATGCGTCAATACAGCCTTTTAGCCTCTCTCTCTCTCTCTCTCTCCCTACTGTGTGTGTGTGTGTGTGTGTGTGGTGTGTGTGTGTGGTGTGTGCTGTGTGTGTGGTGTGTGTGTATGTGTGTGTGTGTGAAATGTGTGTGGTGTGTGTGTGTGGTGTGTGGTGTGTGGTGTGTGCTGTGTGTGTGTGCGCCTGTGTGTGTGTTGTGTGCTGTTTGTGTATGTGTGTGTGTGTGTGTGTGTGGTGTTGTGTGTGGTGTGTGGTGTGTGGTGTGTGTGTGTGTGTGGGTGTGTGTGTGTGTTGGCTTGCCATGTAGGTGTGCGCGTGCGTGCGTGGTGAGTGTGAGTGAGTGCGTGTGCGTGCGTGGCGTTCGTGGCGTGTGTGTCGTGTGGCGTCTGCCGTGCGTGGTGTGGTGTGTGTGTGTGTGTGTGTGTGTGTGTGTGTGGTGTGTGTGTGTGGTGTGCATGTAGGTGTGCGCGTGGCGTGCGTGTGAGTGTGAGTGAGTGCGTGTGCGTGCGTGCGTGCGTGCGTGTGTGTGTGCGTGCGTGCGCGTGAGTGTGTGTGTGTGTGTGTGTGTGTGGGTGGTGGGTGAGTGGCGCGTGCGTGCGTGCGTAGCCGTGCGTGCGTGCGTGCGTGTGTGTGTGTGTGGGGGGGGGGGATTAAACGCATTAACTCATATAAATACTCATATGCTGGTATACTGAATTGCATCGATATTTTATTGACTTCATTAATGTTAACATACATCTGAAATATCGCAGTCTATGACTATATACATACTGTTTGGATGTCATGGGGTGATGGTGACTGACAAACCGTTGAACAACATGCAATAACACGAACCATGAACGCTAACGCTGTACATTATTTTACTCATCATATTTGTAAAACTTAACGTGAAAGCTACCCTACGAATATCATACATAACATCAAGCACGTTGCGCAATAACAGCATGACCGTTTAAGCCTGGAGTTAATACGGTATATAAATATATTTAAATTCGAGTATGAAATAGATGTATACAACTTTACTGACATGGTTAATAATTTTTTGTTTTAGCCAAACCAATTTCCATGAGCACGTAGCAAACATTATTGTCACGTATGCCTACTTGTGTTTATAAATTTATTATGAAGAAGGCGTTTGATCTTCGTTATGATAACGAAAAGAATTAAAAAGGATTATTCCAGGCCATCAGCTTTTTTCCAATAAATTATGATTTCCGCTATGAGTCTAATCCGCTATGAGTTCGATTTCCACATACATGCAATGATTTGTCTATGATGCACTCATATCCCTTAGAGATAATAATTACCAAAAACATCAAATACAACGCTAATAAACGTTACCATATAACTATATCATCTCATTGATAACAGCAGTGCATGGTTTCCACAGTGACTGTGTTTCGGCATCAATATTCCAGTACTTCTTAGTAAGAGTGCAAACGAAAATACGCTCGAATAAATGTAATGAGTATATGTTGTGCCCATGACGACGACGACGACGACGACGACGACGACGATGATGATGATGATGATGATGACGACAACGATGATGCTGCGCCGCCGTGTGTTTATCCGTTCAATCGGCGATACTGGTTGTGCGAGTACTTGACGTCCTCGCAGCCGGAGAAGTAGTCGCTGTGCAGGTTGTTCTGGCCTGGCGACGAGATGCAGTCCACCTCCTCAGTGTCAATCCGCCGACCGACGGCGTGCATGAACACCTCGACGCCTGCAACGAGTCACATGTGGGGGAGGCTTGTGAGCGAGGATGACCAGATGAGAAGAGAAACGCGGTGGAGGTGCTTGACGGCCTTACGGGTAATTTTACGGCTTACATAACACAGTTTATTTTGTTCACAAAGGTTTTTTTTTCTATAAAAAATCACCTTGCCTCCTATGAGTTAATGGTCGGTGTAGAAGTCATTATTATAGATAAAGATTTGTAGCTACGGTACGATATGTTATATACACCTCGGTAGAATACCCTACGGTATATATATGTTAATAGATGCTGATAGTGAAGAGGGCTTATGAAATAATGGAAAATTGAGGAGTAAAGAATTTAGAAATAATAAGGGTGCAGCATTATTTATGGTAATCGTATAATTCATATTGGGGATACTGTATACTTGTTATGCAGTGAAACTTTTGGGGGCGGGACATACAGTAAACAAGTCGTCGAAATCTGAATTTATCTTTTGCATTATGAGCTAGCTATATTGCACCGTAGCATACAAGGTTTAGTGGTTTTAAACGCAGTTGTTCACATTATCTCACTGTTAGCGTCACTGTGTGTATCTGTCCCCGTTTATTGAAGAGTAATAAGCCTTTCATAGGTTACTTACCAAAGTCTTTCAACTTCCGCGCAGCAGCACACGTCGCACCGTAGCGCCCTCTATCTCCTTGCCGTCCTCCGCCATTTCCGTAACCACCGCCGCCAGTAATCACGCGGCTACGTTGGTTGTAGCCGCCATACTGATTGTAGCCGCCATATCGGTTATAGCCGCCAAACTGGTTGTAGCCGTTATTGTTGTAGCCCGAATCGCAGTTGGAGTTGCCGTCAGAGAGCACCACCGCTGCGTAGGTGGAGTGCGGGCGGCCGTAGGAGCGGAACTCACGCTCAGCAGTCTGAAGAGCCGTGTTCGTGCATGTACGTCGGCCGGCTGCAAGGTCGATGCAATCATAGGGTTAGTCCCTGGTTCATCCCATTTCTGTTTCCTTTTTGCTCTCTCTCTCTCTCTCTCTCTCTCTCTCTCTCTCTCTCTCTCTCTCTCTCTCTCTCTCTC